GGTGGATGAATGCAACTGCTATGGCTAAACCAGAGGTTTAATACAACAAAGTCAAAGATGCAAAAGGACTGGTGACATTTAATACAAACATACTAACTTTATATTACTATTTTTAAACTTTATTTTGTATTCACTGCAACAAGCTGGCAGAAGAGTTCCTTCAGAATGAAAAAAGTCTTATCTCATCTTAAATCTTCTTCTGCACCACTTAATGTTTAAGTAGAAAATCAACATGTAATAACAACATAGAGATCATTTTGATGACAGTAATCACATTCAAGTCACTGCATGTATCAAATTAAAAAAGGTAATTGGAGCATTTGAATTTTGGAATATGCAGCATTTTAATGAAAACTTCTGCTAATGTGTTTCATGCTAACAAGAATTGACAGTTGAATAATAATCACCATCACTATCATATTAATAATCATCATAATAAGGAATAACATTCCAAGTGTCTCACCTGGACAGTGGTCTCCTTGTCATCTTTGTGGTAGGTCAGTGTGCTGCCTCTCAGCACAAAGTAACGCTGGTGCCAGTTCTTCACCAAAGACCTCTGTTGTTTCTTGAGCCAGCCGGCCTTCAGCGGCCTCTCCATGGACCTGGGGGAACTCGGCGAGCCCGGCCTGGGTCCCCCCTCTCCAGGTATCACAGTCCTGGATCGTGCTGGCAAAAGAAAAAAACACCACAAGAAAAATTGGGGAAATTGTTTTTGAGAACAACACCATGTACTGTGTCACATTTAAACCGGTTAAACATTACATAAACACTAGTGCTACTCAACTGCTGCAGAGCACTTCCCCCTTTTTCATATGCATCAGCCTATCAAGAATGAGAGACCTGCACAGTTTCTATTTTTGTTTCCCTACATTCAAGCTGAAAGAAAATGCTGGTCAGAGCTGATCAGTTTTCTGTGTACAGTGCATGAATGCAGCTGGGATTCTTCTATGTGAAAAACATAATAGTCTGCAACAGACTGACCAACAAACAATAAGATAGAAAGGTCAGAAATTAATTTCTATATAATTCCACTAACATCTGTCTGTCTGTATGTGGGACACATGTTTTCCACATACAGACTGTTCATCTTATCGCCTGCATACTTAGCATGTCTATTATTAATGGTCCAGGAAAGTGCAGTGCATGTGAATATGCAATACATTCAATACTGATAAAATAAGAATAACTGAAAAGTTCTGAACTTGAGTTTGAAGTTTGTTTTGGTTGCTTAAAAGACCTCTGAAATAGTCGACATGTAATGTATAAAATAACAACATCATTCAAACTTATGTAAAAACCACACATGTTAACAGTAATAAATCACATTTAGTTTCATTTTATGAAAAATATTGACTGCAAAATCACTGCAGATAAACAAGGTAGAATGAACACAAAGTTTTGTTTATTCACTCTGCACTACAGACTGTTATAAAAAAAAGCTCTGCACAAACACACAAACAGCAAAAGTGACAAAAACAGTCCATCGGGGACAGAAGTTGTTCTTACTCATACGTGTCACTCTTGAGTTCTGTGGCTTTGAGAGGCCACAGTGGGGAAGTTCGACGCTGTGGTGAAGGAACAGAGGTCGAGGTGTACGTGGCCCAGAAAAGATGGAGACAGTCTGAGTAACACGCAGAGTGGTGGGACAGTGGAGATATCGGGAGTGAGATTGAGCCCCGTCGCTCAGTTGTTCTTTAATTCACTGTGTCTTCTTAAGCAGGATGATGGAGGAGAAGAGAAGAAGAAGGGCCGCACAGGGATAAACAGGAAGCTGCCACATAATTGCCACAGGGCCGGCCACACTTTGAAGGCCTCCACCTAGACGCTGGAGAGTCCTTTGGTGTAATTTTTGCGAGCATCAGCCTCCCTTGATTTGTGGAGAGTTAAAATGTGCTGTTGAGGAACCCTGAGCCCACACACAGAGGCCGATGTCACACCACACCCCACGCTGACAAACACACAATTCCTTTAAAGTAGCTTCAACTCATGATGAGCCAAGAGCTTCACTGCACCTCAAAGACGTGTGCAACGCTCACTTTTTGATACGGTGGAAAATGATATCCAGAGTCTCCTGGTGGAGGAGTTTGTACACGCTGGAAGAACTAATTCAAAATATTTAATTAATTTGATATTTAGCTAAAGAAAAATACACTATATACATGTCTACATATTTCTTGCTTGGGTGTACCCCGCCTCTAGCCCAAAGTCAGCTCCACATTGACATAGATTTTTGACCCTACTATGACTTTGTAGACGGACTTATGACCCCACACACACACATGCACTGCACACACCGTCACACTGTATATGTGAGCACAGTTATCAGCGACACACAGCACTAAAGTCAGAGCCCTGCAGAGGCTTGCATCAGTTTCCTGCTGTGAGCCTGCGTCACTCCTGTTACACACTATTTAATAAAGCATGGGCCACTGAAATAACGTAGGGTAATGAATTGTTCTAGGAATCAACACCTTTCAGATGTGACATTTACATTTATACTGAAAAGTTTGGTAGTAAACGTTGCTGATGAAATATATGCGGTGAGGGCTGCTACTTCCTTCTACGGAGCTCTACAACAACTGATGGTATAAATGATAAGATTCAGAGCAACAAGGTGCCAATGTGAACAATAGCAGTAGTGTGCATAACTGAGCCTGTCTCTTCTTGTGTGTGTGCAGATCTCAGACCGCTGCAACTGTTGAGAGGAACTGAGGAACTCACACTGTATTAACACTGGCAGTGTATTAATGAGTCTAGACTTATGTGCAGTAATTGTAAAATACACTGTACACACACACATGTGCACACACAATCACAGTTGTGTGTCCATGACTTCAGAGGACATAATATTGACTGATATTGTTTTCATATTTATATACCACAGTCCATTCTATATTAAGTGACAGTGATTTTAGACTGAAAACCACTCTGATTAAAATCAACCACTGTGCTCAGACCCACAGTGAGAAAGGTCTATATACGCGTATATAAAACATGTACAAATAAATAAATATATATATATAACATATATTTATATAATGCTTCGTACAAAAAATAATAGTCTTCAAGGAAAGGAGAAACACAAAATATAAGAAATACACTGTCTGCTATGTGGATTTTTTTCTGTACCATCTCTGTACTATTTTTACTATAAGTTTACATCCCTTTAAATGACAGCAACTGTAATGCTTCTGAAAATGTGAGCAAAAGTGTGAGCATGCTACATCCTCACTGATGACGGCGAACGCAGCACGGCCTCAGGCTTACCTATTCGACCTGTCTCAGCCTTGAAGGTGCTGAAGTCCCAGTTGCGAGGTAGTTTCAGAGACATTATCCTTTAAGTGGTCCAACAGGTTAGTGGTTCATCTCACACGTATACCCCACTGGAGCACACACACACGCACACACACACACACACACACACACTGATACACTCACACACAGAGACAAGAACTGGAGATCTTGCAGATCACACTTCCTACTTCCTGTGTGTTCATCTGTTCTCTTTTTCAACCCATCATAACGCGTCACCTCATGTTGCCTTTATGTCCGTGTTCATACTTGTTCTTATCAGTGTCCTGTGTAAATGGCTTCCAAGTGATTCAATAGGTCTGCAGAGCTTCATGTAGTGGGTAGTTTTCAAATGACTAATGGTTGTGTGGAAATAAAACAGGGGTGTCTTCTTAGAGGAAATGGTTTTCATATCATGGTTTGTCTCCTTCTGTGAGGATGTTGCTTCAGAGCTAAGGCTGCAGCAGAGTCACTATTAACCAACGTGTGACACACAGTCAGCTACACTAATGTTCTTCCATCATTAATAAAACAAACCACTGTTATCTTTCGGCAGATCTTTTTATAAAATAGGGAAGAAGACCCAAAGCACAAGAGTCACACACAAGACCACGTGATTTTTTTGTATATATATCTTTAATATTCTCTGAAACAAAGCAAAGCACATTTCAGTATCAGTTTGCTCTAGCCAAACGAACAACTTAACACAAACCATTGCACAGTTTAAGAGTAATATACTGAACTCATATAGCTTTTTAAAGAGAATCTATAAACACAAAAATAACTGTCCACAGGGGGGAGCCTACACAGTATATGTGGGACACTCATAACTCCATACATTCCTTTTAGAGAGGCTCCTGGCAGGGCAGGATTCACAATAGTAAACCGACTTGATTAGATACGGCACAGAGGAGGCTTCCTGAGTGCCACGAAAAAAAAAAAAATACTGATCCCTCATGGTCCGCCTCCTCTGAACTTCAGGGGTACTGGAATGTATCAAACGGCAGTAACAAGGGGTCACACCTTTCTGCTCAGATGCAGCATCGGTGTTACAGTGGGTGGCCGACCACAGGAGCTCCAGCTCTCTCTAGTGGTCGACTACAACACCACACAGAGAAATGGCAGTACAGAGCTGTGGGGCCCAAAACACCTCAACGGTCAAACCTACCACAGAGAGAGAGAAATGTGAGGTATCTGAAAGTCCTCACAGCTTCTCTCAGAAAACTTCCTGTCTACTCAGAAGGAGATGGTGCAACGCAGCGCTACGACTATCCACACTGCTTCAGAAGCTTATTCACACAACAGCTACCAGGGATGAGCAGAGAAAACACCCAAGTGCACTAAAGTCACAGCAAGAAAAGACAGAGAGAAAATACGTGTCTAGTATCTCAATGCTCTTTCCTATATGGCAGTAACAATAATAATAGAAATACTTAAATTATCCTCTAACCAAAAATACTAAAGAACATTCAACATATCTCTAAACATCTTCAATGTACAATATAGTCACTTTGAAAAGGTGTGGCTTGATTACAGTCAATAACATAAATATTTTAAGACAGATCAAGTCAAGACTGCATGGCTGGATATATCACACACGTCAAACCACAAACATGAACGGAATGACAATCAATCCATAGAAATATGGAGTGGCATTCAAATGCAAATAAAGAACATGTAGAAGTGTGTTTGCTTCATACAGTGGCTCTGATAGCATGTTTTTTATATGATTACCATGAGATACTGAGCTTCACATCCCTGCTACAGACGACTGTGATGCTCGTATTGCTGTTTAGTCCTTTAACACTGAAAACAAACTGCTCTATCTCACTTCACTGACAAGGACAAACACATGAACACCTACTGGACAGAAACAAAATCATGGCTGTGCACAGACCGGATGAGGATATTAGCTTGAATAATTACAGTGAAATCTTAGTTTGCACTAATCTTTACTGCAGTGTCTGAACATGATTTGCAGATAAACTTAACCAGATCAAAATTAACAATCTGAGGCTTTTGGAATCTATTGAACATTTTTAAAATACTTGAGTATTTAAGCTTATTATATTTGCACATTGTCATCTAGTAATGACTCACTCAGTTTGATGTTTAAAAGCATATTTTCAATGAAAGCATGAAAGAAAGAAATTGATGCAGCAGAGGTTGATAGCCTGGCTTTTAGTGGAAACTACACTTCCCACAATTCAACTTAATAGGATCTTTTCATTAGATCCTGCACTTAAATTACCACTTTTTTTAAAAATTCCACAGTCCAGGTTGTTTAACAGTCTGTCAGGCAAGATTTGTCCCCAAGCTCAGACCAAAATAACTTGGGAGGCCATCACCGTGACATCATCAGGGTTATTTTCCCAGACTTAAAAAAGTTCTACTGTCACAAGGACAAGATACAACTGTTTTGGCAGTTTGCGTATTACAGATGTTTGTTTAGGAATCAGTGCAGTGTCCCTTGACAGTTGAATAATTTTAGAAATCGCAAAACAAAAATGAACCCAACAGTACAGAAGCTTCAGCTTTTATATTTTACCACTAAATCAGACACACATTGGCCAATATTCAATATCTCAGAGTCCTGCTTCAGAACCTCAGGTAACAAACACTGGAGTATGTGTACAGCAGATGATTGTTACTCCAACTTAAACATTAGATACATAACTCACTCTGATAGGTCGAGAAGACCAGTGACAGTCACACTTCCTGCTCTGAAACATGGAGAGGAGACAACACACAGCTCAACCACTGATACTGACAACATCCCCAATAAAGGCCACAATAAACAATCCCACCACCTCAGGAACATACCGAGTAGAAACACTGACTGGGGTCAATAAAAACAAAAAATAAAATGATTCCTATTCTTATCATGAAATGGCAACCTGGTGAGGATCGACTGTGTCTGGCCTTCATTCATAATAAAAGAGCTTTTTGCAGATTGAGCTCTGCTGCAGTGCTAATATATGAACAAAACCACCAACAGATGGGAATCAAGAGACTGGACTCTGTTTGTCAGATTCAATCAAATACTTCAGAGTAACCCAGTCGTTCATCTGATATTTCCATACGATAAACAAAGGAGAATATGATTAAAATGAATTGACTAAGCATTAAAGGCTTTGAAATGTTGAATGGCAGCAAACACAGACAAAAGACACACGCACACATATATGCACATGAAAAGATGGCAAAAGTCTGAATAAATCACAGACACGACCTATTAAGATATAATAGAACATACCAAATATAAAAACTTCTATATATAAATAGAAACAATCACAATAATGAAAATAAAATTGAAAGTCTGGGGGGCAGATACAGTGAGTAACAGAGAGAGCAGTGCATTAAAACAAAGAAATGTACCATAAAATATTAACACACAGTAACAGGTATATAGAGGATGCCCATATACACAGCTGACCGACGTTTTGTTCAACAGTTTGAGTAGATACAAGTCTGTAATAATGGAAATGTGTAACAGTACAATAATTCACTAACGCAACCTGAAAACAGTGGTGTGACAAACAGGTTCACAGACTGTATGAACACAAACACATGACCCTCATATGAAAATGAAATGGAATGAACCAAGGCTGTGGTTTTTTTCTGGTTTTCTTTGTTGTTTTTTTTCTTAGATGTGTTCTCGCTCACACAAAGCACTGCAAGTCTCCCAGATCTCCAGGGCTGCACACCACCCACAGGTGCTGCCCTCCTGTCTCTCCTACAAAGGGGAGCCAGTGTGGTTGCGGCCAGATCTAGGCGGCGGCCTCCTCCAGCGCCGGAAGCAGGCCCTTCTCTGTCAGGTGAGCCTTCAGGGAGTTGAATATGGAGAGCTGCTGATCTGCTCGCAGGGCCAGGAGCTGCTGGATCACTTTGCTGGGGTTGGGGCCCCTGGTGAAAGGCAGAGAGATCATCAAATACACATCCCACTAAATCAACCTTTCACAAAATCCTTCATGCACACAGTGACTTTCCAACCACAGCTTAGCAGCAACAATAACTAGGCAGTGTTCCCTCTAGGTTTTTTATTTTAGGGCAGCCCAGGTGTAGCGCCACAGCATTGAGGCGCATTTCCGGTCAAAAAGCCATTCTGTTCCCAATAACTTTTGCAGTGACAGGTTACAAAAAATGTACGTAGTAGAAATCCTGCTACGTATAATCAAGCTCAGATTTCTCAACATGTCAAAATGCTTTGCGAGCCACAGTAAAACAAAAAAACAAATGAGTAAAAGTGTATTGGATGAATTTCAATGTGTTTATCTGCTCTAACCAAAGCTGTAATCTTTAGCATAATACAGCTAACTAGCTACCTAAAATAGTAAAAACTTGGCATAAAAAGTTTTTAAAAAAATAGTGTCACACATTTCATACAGCCGTCATGTGTTTACCTGATGAAGCTAGCAATGTAGACGTTAACAAATGTGGCCATGAGGTACTGGCAGTCGAATCTGTCCATAATACCTCCATGCCCCGGGATAGTGTTTGCAAAATCCTGAAAGGACAAAGGACAATACACATGCCTGAACTCATAATCTCACATTTTAGAAAGAAAAGTCATTAACAGTGATAAAATAAATGCATATATAAAAAACACATGTAAAGAATAATCTGTGTTATAAACTACATTCTAAAATGCTGGCCTACACTAGGAGGCTTTGCAGATTTCAACCAGACTGAGACAGCAGCATCAGACACTGTGTGTATGTTGATAGTTATTGGGGTCTCTGTCTGTGTGATCTCTACCTTGATCTTGAAGGCCCTCTTGAAGCCGCTGGCAAAGAAGCCACCGAAGGGTCCCACGATGGAGGCAAATGAAGAGAGCGCAATGCTGTGGATCTGGAATGGGTAGAGGCGCACGGTGGTCTGTGGAGAAAACACAGAAATGTGAGACTGAAACAGATCAGCAGATAGAGTGTTTAAATGGGACTTGAGTAAATCGAACAAATGAAGCCAGATAGGAACAGTGCAGGTTGAGTCTTACCCATCCAGTGAAAGACTCCAGGATGGCGGGCAGGGCATATTCCTGCAGCTGGAACAGGTCAGATGGTTCACAGTCCACCTGGAAACTGTTGGAGTCGTTGTTGAACTCCACTGGACACACAAAGTAGCGGTAGCCAGCCATCACATAAGAGAACTGCAAGCAGAGCAAGAGTCAGTTACTTACTTACAGTTGCAGCCCTAACCTGCAGGACAACACTTCACAGGTAAAGTCATGTGGAGAATCAGCTGTATGGTGTCTAACGAGGCTACAGAGGATCTTTCTATGGACTGAGATTAAGATTTAGTCATTAAAATATACTGTGTAAGGCCCTGTTCAGACCTGGTATAAACATCTGTCCTGACAGATCTAATCACATCATTTGTGTTCATAAAGACCGAATGTTGTTGCATAAACAGTTCTCACTGTGTTTTTGTATGTTGGTGAATGTGTAGGCACTAACAAGTGAGAGAGAGAAAGGGGTAGAGAGACAGAGAGAAGTCAGGAGGGACTCAGTGAATCTTGTGCAATCTTATGAAGACAGATTTTTACCAATTTTAGAAAAGTATTAATCATTACGTTTTCGTCAATGTTCGAAAGAGGATGTCAGCTGAGGATGTCAGCTGAGTAGGCAGTCCTTCTTATGTGTTCCAGGAAGTATTTACATTCACACACATCCAAATGTGGTCTGAGTGATCAGATTTCAGGACGCATTACATGCAATCAGGTCTGAACTTACTTTTCACCACATGTGATTAGATAACGCAGGATGGATGTTAATACCACATCTGAATGGAATCTTAAAATACTTGGCACAATCAACTGAATCGCTAAGCCATATTAGCACATGACAATACAGCAAAGACTTTACTATGTATAAACACACTAGACATCAGACCACAAAGGCTCTGTTTCATGTGTTAATAACTGAGAACTATAGAGGCATGTAGTAAAATCATATCTTACCATGATACCAAACACAATGGTGGCGAAAAGTCCTCCAATAAATCCCTCCCACGTCTTCTTAGGGGACAGCTGCAGAGGACACAGTCAAGGTGTGGATACCAAGTTAACATATCACAATGTTTGATAACCAAAACCCAGACCTGTAGATAGATACTCACTATGTTTGCTACACAGTACAGAGTACAATGATTCTAAATATGTATTTATTTAGTTATTCTGTTGGTGCAAAACATCTAGTGTACAAAGCTCAAAAGATGAGTGATAGAAACCAACCTTGATGAGAGGTGTGCGGCCGAAGAAGAAACCAAACATGTACGCCATAATGTCGTTACAGATCACACAGGAAATTGGCACAATGAACCTATAAAAAGGAGAGTTTATATCATTCGTTATGAGACTAAACGAAAACAAGATCTGGTAACGTAATCAGAAAAGAGTAATAATTTAATCAATGATTGTCTGTACATGCTCAGGACATATAAATAACATTATTACAGTATTATTATTAAAGGTGTATTTCCACTGATTTAGTTAAGATGTAGTTTTAACAGGAGACGAAGGACTATTCACTTACCAGATCATCCCCTCAAACAGGTTGTGAATGATAAGGTGAGACTGAGTCACCACAATCAGCAGAGTCACGTGGGTCCAACCAAACTGTGAAGAGAAGATTAACAAAAGGTATTTTTTCACGAGGATACATTTAATTTAGCTTTTATTCCAAAACAACCTCAAGCTTCTTTCAGACAGGAACTGAACTCCACACATTTTCCTGCAATTTTTCTGAAGGGCTGTATGTGAGAACGCCAATGTCGGAATCAGCTGCTGTGGAACATTTTCCAGAACCTTTCCTGCCAGGCTGCATATATAATGTTAGGAAAATGTACGCACTGAGATGAGAATACAACAGAATTAGTCACAGCGCGTAATAAGTGTCAGTGTCGTTTCTAACATGCCATGGACACAAAACTGAAAAAACAAAAATATAATGAGAATAAATCTCAGGATGAAAAGGAGGAGCCATACATGTAGAAAACAAAGACAACAATGTTAACTTGGAGGTTTTTTTTGTTATTTCTGAATAAACCTGATAAACTGAACATAGAGATACTGTTATGAGACAACTGATTTCCAGATGATACGTTTCTGAAGGAAAATAATGTGAACGGACTCCAACCAAAGTTAGTAATCAGCTGTGACTGCACGGCGAAGGCTTTTAGCAGATACACTGAACAATGCCATCACCAAAAATGTGACTAGAAGAAAAACGCCATTATTCAATATGTTGAGTGGAAAGGGTGAAAAGTATTTAGAGTATGCCTCAGCTGAGGACTGCGGACAAATGCCACTATCAGTCAGTTATTGTTTGTGTGAGTGTAGCTATAAAAGTGTCTGTGCTCTTAAAACCTGCACAAACTAACTAACATGGGAGCAAAAAGTGTCGCTCAGTGTTTACTGGCCACATGACTAGATTTACACATTTAGAATTAACAATGTGGCAGACGTTTCAATTAGAACAATCTCTGGCCCACTTCTCCATTAACTGCAGGGCCTGTATCTCAACAAGCTTCATCAATAACCGAGTGGCCTTGAGGCTGGTAGGCAGGAGGAGGTAGGGTGCTACTTACCATGTAGAACTGAAGGCGGTAGTGTTTCTTCACCAAACTCAGCACAAACATGCAGAAACCTACAACAACAATATCATAGTGTATGAAATACCTAATAAGGACATGATACAGAGGTGTAGAGCCTGGAAGCAGGAGATTCATTCATTCAGAATACAGGTCATGTTTGGTCACACTGGCTAAATTTAGCTCAACATATTTCCAAGCCCAGTAGTAAAAGCAGAGAGGAGCTCAAAACTGCTGCAGCCATTAATTTCACAGAATGAACATGACTGAAGTGAGGAGAGAGAACTGCGAAAAGACAAAAATATTTTTACTCTGGGAGAAGAAGTCAAACCAGTCACATAGAAGAGTCTGGGAAACTGGTCTCTTTAATCCTTTCCAACAAATAATAATCTGTCAGGAAAAAACATTTGAGCAATGCTTGTAGGTTTGACACCATCATCTTAAAACATTCAATTTCACCTCGAGTCTCATCGACAGGAGACAGAAAGGCCGCTTCCTTCCACACCACATCCTGTTTGCCATCTGTTCGCAGCTATAGCAGCACTGACTTACTAACAGACAAAATGTAGCACAGGAAGTGGGACTTCTCTGGTTACAACTGTGCCTGATCAGTATGAAAACCTACATTTTTATATATAGAAATATCTTTAATTAGACTTTTACTATGTATAAAGAAAGCTCTAATCAATCATTTACTGGCATCTGCTGAGACAAGCTTAGCTGCTCCTGATGTCATCTTGTCTTCTGTGATCAATTCAAATTGATTTACACATTGAGTAAACAACATACTCACTCATCAAAGATATGAGTCTTGCTGGGGGGAACAGCATGCTGCTCAGTTCAGTCATTTTGAATCATGGTTATATGCAAACACATTTATTTATCTTGTCCTGTGGACATACATCAAATGGCTGGTGGTTCGACCCCTGGATCCTTCTCTGCCAACCTGCCCTAGGTCAATATGATGAACCCAAAATTGCCCCTTGTGGCTGTGTCAGTAGTTTGAAATAGAAAAAGTAGATTCATATAGTAGATCATCATATAGAAGAGCTGTATCAGTGTGTGTGTGAATGGGTGAATGTGACTCGTACTATAAAGTGCTTTGAGGGGTAAATAAGACAAGAAAAGCGTGATATAAATACAGTCCCTCAGTTTATCTTTAAATTAACTACTAGATACACAAGTAATGGATAAAGTGACCACAAGTCTCCTCTGTATAGCTAGTGACAGGCCACCAGCTTGTGTTCATGTGTTACAGTTTGTGGCACATTTACTTTATGTGTTATGGTCTCAAATTGTCCGCCCATAGAACTGCATTAAAATGTTTCATACTAGAACAAAATGTGGAACTTGACACGTCGACACTGAAAAACATGAACTAATGCATCTCTATGAGGTAGTGTGGTAAAGTGACCCATTTATAAAATGAAAATGTGAAATCTATGTGTGTAAACAGAAGTGATGTCAATACTTCCCACACACCAACATGAAAACAGACATTTACAGGCTTTACTTTGTTTGTACCTGTGAGGTAGAGGGCGAACGAGATGAAGCGGTGGTATTTGCTGAGGATGCGAAGTGGCTCCTCCCTTTGCACCAGTGTGAAGAAGTAATCTGTCACGGTCTCACCATAAAAGAAGTAGTTTACACACAGCAGGAAGTACCTGTGGGGCAAAAGGATTAAGGCAAATGCACAAAGGTGTCAACTTTATGACAGCATCTAATCAGACTCTGTATTCATTATGACTCCAGAACAACTGGTAACATGCTGCAGGGATTTAACAGATCAGCAGGGATTATTAATGATCTTGAAATGAATTGATAATGTGAGTAGACTGTCATCATAGTTGTACTAACCATAGATGGTGTTTGACTTTTCATCAGGTCTTTCATGCACATGGAATACTGAATGTCAGAAGTCTGCTATCTATGACACTAAACCAGAGGTTTTCAAAGTACAGCATGTTTCCCCTACACGAAGAGAGAGAGCATCTTGTGGGGGATGACATTGGACAGGTACAAGCACAGAGTTCTTTTCAAAGGCTTGTGTATTAGTTCAGCTCACCAACATAGTAGGCAGCTGGAGCTGAAGCAGTAGCTGTGACCCAGAGCTCATGGAGGGAGTTAAATTAAAAATCTTAGCCCAAATGTCTGCAAATTGCACCAATATTTTCTCCTTCTACGAGTCGTCAATCAGTCCTATGTGAGCAAAAGGACATGATGCATATATTTTTAGATTTGTTATGATATCATTATATCCAATATCCATTACAAATAATTGTCCACAAATCCATTTGCAAATCATGGAAAACAGGAAGTAATGTAGATGAGTTTGGGGGGGAGCTAAGGTAGGATGAGGCAGTGTCAGACTTTGAAAACCTCTGATCTTAAGAGAGCACTACTGCTAAGATAAAAAAAGCAGACCTGCCAACCTCACAGAAAGTCTTAGGATATCACCATATCGCAAAATAATCCATCGTCATGTTTGCATATTTATTGCTTATATTATTACCATCCTATTTTTTTAAATGTATTAATTATCTTAACACATCTTTACCTCTGAACATATTTCTCCAACATAAGCATTATTTTTAGTCAGGGGGTATACCTGAATACGTAGCTGGCATCGACAGTTGTGTTGTGAGTTTATCCCTTTTAATTTAGTCTTGACAACACAGAAACATTTCTGCAGTGAAAATCATTCACTGTTCACTTATTACCTGCAGATCTTTTATGATAGATATAAACAGACTGTGCAGAAAACACAGGCATGGTAATCTCTCCCTGTAACTCAAAGAATTTCAGCAGTGTGTAGTCAGGGTGCTTTATTCACTACAATTACAGGTTTGGGTGCAAACATGTATTTTATGAAAACTATGTAAAGTCCTGTTTGACCATTTATGATACAAGGACAATATAACTGAAATTGCTCACTCAAATGACTGGTGAACAAGCAAGCTGGATTTCCAATACATAAAAGTCAGGCTAACATTAACTTAATTCACAATCAAATTTACCTTTGCTAAAATTATCCAAGCAAATCTTGAAATGACATTACACATGTGTCAATCATTTGCGCCTGTCAATATTTTTTTGTATTAAGACAAGCGGACAGAATCCACCACTATGATTAGTGTTTTTCTTGTTCTTTCATCACCAGATTTTTGCATACCTAATTACTTTTTTGCGTAACAAGTACTTTGATCAAGAGATGCATACCTGTTATGCACAGATTGGCAGGTCTGCAAACATAACTAATGATTCACAGTATTTTTGCATTGGTTTAATAATCTTCAGTCTACTCAAGATATCAAAACAGGTCAGAAAAACAAACCTCAGGAAGTCTGCAACAAAATAAAACGTGAGATGAAACAATAAAAATGAAGCAAACAGGGAAATGTGCTGAATTCATGAAACCTGTGTATAATGTGTGATTGTGTGTGGGTTTGTGTGGACATCCTCACCAGCTCAACGTCCTGAACCAGGGCAGGTGGTACGAGTGGTAGACACTGTAGCCGATGGTAATGATTTCTTGGAAGCACTTGATCTGAACACAGAGGACCTGCACAGAGAAACACTGTGTCACTATGAGCCGTCAAAGCGATTGCTCAGCACCATATGTGTAGTTTGTACTCACAATCATCATAAGCACCATGGGGCCCAGGTAGATGATTAAGAAAAAAAAGGAGATCATGGCCAGTGTGAGGATGCCTCGTACCCACCAGTTCTTCCATCTGAAGGAAGCACACAAACATGTCAGCTCAAAAAAAGAATAAAACACAGAGGTTAACATATCAAACCAAACATCTGGTTTAATAATCAATCTGTAAAGAGAAAATGTAAATGAAAAAGGTGGTGTAAATAAACCAGCTTATACACTGGCCATGGACAGGGTTCAAAAATACAAGATTCTGATAGGGTGGTACCTGTACATTAAAACAGTAAATCAGGTTTGTTCTGCATATACATCAGGACACCATGATGTGCTTTATCCCACACATAAGATGTGCTGCTTCTTCATGTGTACTCTGTAGATAGTGGCCTGTCAATGTGAATATATTTTATATGACTGCAGCTTTAATTATGTCATCGCACAACCCCAGTCTGATATTATCAATGTTACTGCCAGAAACACGACTCTGTGAAACAGTTCAGGGACTCACATCAGCTGTTCAAAGAGAACTATGTGTGTGGAGGGATTCCTCTGTATGAATCATGACATCTCTGCATGTGAAGCAGTCCAGAGATGAAGTCCAGGATGGACCTCTTGTTTAGTTTAGCAGCTCTACATTAGAACATGTAGTGATGAACAGAAATACTCTGAATTCCAAATGCAGGTTACTTGGGTGATGAGTGTGTTTATTTATTGTTTATGTTTATGTTAAATGCTCAGCTTTTAAGTCTTAGTGTCATACTGACAACTTTCATTACTGTGAACTCAGCAATATGGTTTCTCTACAACAGTAATCGCACCTTGAGGAGAGTCCAGACAGGGCCTTGTTTAGAACTTCTGGGGTGTCATCGGGAGGAACAGGCACCTCTGGGACCCCTGGGTCCACCTTGGTCTCAGTGTCTGACACCACATCTTTTTCCACCTTCAGCTCACTGTCTGAACCCTGACACACAGACAGACACACACACACAGACAGACAGACAGACAGACAGAGGAGAAATAAAAGACATTTAGATGCTGATATTTATAAAAGATAAAATGTTGCAGTAAAAAAACAAAAATCATCTGGAATCATTTCAGTATTTACATGACGAATGCCATGGCCTCAAACTAAATCACATGACACTGTATCTGGGTTAGATGGCTCTAAGTAATTTTTGCCCTTTGCAGCAGAAACATACGCACACACACACAACAGTTCCCCACAGAAAGAATGATCCCCTGCACTGGATGAAAAACTACTACAAAAAAAATTATAATAATTTACTTCACATCACCAACTCTCCGTCACTAAATCTTTGAGTCAAACAGTTTCACTACAGCAGTAAAAAAAAAGTTATTAATACAGACAGAAGCAGCAACGCAGTCTTAAATAACTTAACATTTAAATGCAATGTTGGTTAAAAGACAACAGTCTATCATGATGTGATATACAAGATGCTGTGTGAGCAATTACATCATCACACAACAATCATTTGATCAGAATATGTATGTTTCCCAAATCGAACTGTTATCATCAGCTCTGAATATATCAAAGTTGTGTGATGCTATAAATTAAATGAAATGCATGATAACAAATTACTCTTTGACTTATAATAAATTTCCTCTATATATCCACCTATTCATCATCTATACAGTTTTTCTTAAAGGGTCGTGGTGAACAACCTGGAAAGTTAGCCAGCATATCGCAATACAGTACAATCTATGAGATAATGTATAAAGTCTCTTCAGCTCTGTAGGTCAATATTGTATTAGTTCCGAGTCCTTGTATTAACACTTATTCAAAATACAAATATGTACTCTGTACTTTTATATTCATACAAATATGGATAATTATCATGGAAAAAATAGCCTCAGATTCATGGTATCAGTGGTGCGCAAACAGCATTACGCAAACAGCAGCAGGACTCCTGGTGCAGGGTTGTGTGGGAGGCTAAACACTGGGCCAATCTGTCTCCATCCATATTGTTGATGCTTCAGAGCCATCTGTTCTCTAATGGAGGCCAGCTTAAAACACACCCATAAACATCAGACGATGGATGTAATCACATGACAGCAGCTACACACAGTTACAGGTTCTCTGGTGAAAAAGTCTCCTCAGGTCAGTCCGTCCTTTCACTCCTCACACTCCCCACTGACCTCTCTGCTGCTGGTGACCAAATTAGGCTCACAGCTCTCTCCTCATTTCACACAGAGGGTGTTTGGCTCACTCCTCTGTGACGCCCACTCAGTCTCACACACAGGCTTACAGTTAGACATTGCTACATGACTAAAGTTGGATATTTTCAATAAATATTAAACCTTTGTTGCTTGTTGCATTAAGCCCGTTATTTTATCTTGTCGTCTTACTGCAGACTGCAGTTTGCATATCAGAACTCAGCAACCAACAAGAAACATCACCAAAAACAGAAAGCTAACTTAGTCACATATTAAATGCTTGATGCTCTGGGTTAATAAGGCACCAGGTAGAGTGCATTCAATGCACTGTAGCCGATTGATTAATCTGGAGATAACGTGTGGATTTTTTTTCTCTACAACACATCGTTTTATGGAGGGGTAGGTTGCTCCAGTGAAAAAGAGTTTCTTATGGCAAAGAGAAACCAAGTGATACTCTTTGTCTTTTTAGAAAGACAAAGTTGTGGATCAAATTTAATCTTTTTGAACGATCAATGTGTGTTCAACTTAGTTAGCATTCCTAAATAAATCATTGATTCCCAAACTGACCTCCCCATCTCTCTGGATTAAGTCATTTTAAAGGAAAAGTCATGCACACTTTCCTAGAGACTAGAAACAATGTCAGTAACTGTCAAAACCCACTGACTGCAGGGGCTTGCACAAGAATGCACACACACTGATGCATTCTCCGCCTGCTGGTTTCTATGGAGACAATATCCGTCATTCAGGATGCTTGAGCTAAAAATAGGGGCTTGTTTCACATACACAATCCCTTTCATGCTTTCCTGTATACCAGCGGCGACCCGGAGTGTCTCTGCTTTGTCTATCTCCAATTTATTAGAAATCAGAGGATCTGTTAGGTGTGAAAGGATGAACACAAGTACGCTCTATGGCCCATCTTTACTGAGATTACAAAGCTTTTAGTCTGAGGTGTGCCGCTCTCTAACAAACAAACAAATAACGGGAGCGATGAGGTTTGTCCTCGAGTTTCTCATCTGATGGAAATATTTTGGAGCAACTGTTTTGAATAGCTAAAAGATCATGTGTGTATTCAGTTGGTCATTAAGAATGATCCTTCCCAGTAGCAGCTGAAGGAACACGATAAACAGAACCGTATTCAGAAATGTATTGTCAAAGGATTAACCCCTTGATATGTACCATCTCATTTTCTAGGGCGTCCGGAACACTTACAAATAATGAATATGAATTTTGAGACTTGATAAATAGTCATGTAATTTAATCTAAGTATAACTGAATGTCACTCTACTCCTATTTATAAATCACTATAAAAAGAACCCCATCCAAACTATTTACATCCTCATTTCCTTTGAGTCAATAGCTTGTTTACAATTTTTTTGAAACTCTACATCATCTTATAGGACAATAAACTGACAGCATAAACTAACAACAACTCAACTTTAGAACCACAAAAGCAACTTCAGGCAGTAGTGTAACAGGAAATGAAAGCACATCAGGAAAAGGTGCTAAGTGAGTTCCACTTGTATACTAACCATTCCTCTGTGAACTATGTTGCTGAGTTGTAGCTAAAGCCTCATTTAGTTTCCCATTTCATTTCAGGTATTCCTTTTTCTGTAATCATGATATCTTGTCCTAGAAAGTCACCCACATCCATCACAGCGTCCCCACAGACCTCTCGTTGAAAACTACCCTGAACACCTTGTTGTCAACACAGACTGGACAGTTGTTTCCCTTCAAGCTGGTCAGACATCAGTGTGTCTGAAGGCAAACCACTGGTGATACACAATCAGGTCTGATCTCTGTACAGCAAAGCTACAGTAAACAAGCCCAAACCGTTGTCAATAGCCAACAGTGAAAACACAGCTAAACAACAATGTCAGTGGTCAGCAGTATGTGGATGTCTGCAAACCTCTCACCAACCATTTGTCAAATATTTCACAATTTACTGTTTCTTCGCTTGGCAGCAAATCAAGGAGCCGTTTCAAACTTCACTTCAGTATGTGTAACACACACGAAGAGTCATTCAATATTTCGGCATATACCTGATAAAGACAAAATGGAGGAATGTGATACAATTTGCACTTTTGTCGTTTGGTTTGCTGGATGTCTTCACGACAGAAGCACGCCCAGGGGACAGAGTAGCATCAGATAATCACGTCCAGGACGCCAGTAAATAGACGGAGGATTAGTACAGCGCGCTTCGATGTATACGAACGCTTGTCATGTTACATTGTGCTGTATGAATCAAGAAACCCGTGTTTAGTGGACAGAGACACGACTCTGTCCAGCTGACGTAACACGCTGCACTAACAGTGGGATAGCTAGCTAGCGTTAGCATCCTACCTTGTCCTCTGAGAGCTGCGGCTCGTTGTCTCTGGCTCCTCGGTGCCTCAGCTCCGCCATGTTAGCAGCTAACGACCACGGCGAGGGTCCTGAGGGTCCGACACTGACACACACTTCTCCCGAGGACAGGCCCGCTGCTGCAGCTCGAGCTGGATGTGTTTGTACGAAGACACTGCTCACTCGAATTCAATCGGTGTCCCTGACGAGGAGTGCAGGATGTAGATAACTTCCGCTTTTCAAAATAAACTCGGTGTAATCGTAAATGCAGTCCCTGTATGAATGTATATCTTACTAGTTTCCAGTAAAATTGAGACATTAATATAACATTATCACGTAGCAAGTGCCGTGTGCGTGCTTTTGTTCCAAAGGTATAGTTGTACAGTTGTAATTGCCTGTAATCTGGGTAACTTGATCTTCCTGTTACACCTCTGATGTCATGGGAGGTGAGAGCAATACAAATATTGTGCAATAGAAAACTATTAAAAAAGAATGCACAATCAGGTGTGACTATGTGTATCCTATTTCTTTTGTACTGTAATATAATATAAATGTTAATCTATGTTACTGAATATTAATGTTGTATTTATGTTTTTTTCTACTTCCTATGTTCCTGATGTTTATTTTGTGATATTTTCCCGCAAATGTTATTTTTTTAATCTTTTAAGAGCATTCGAAATAAATTGAACAAAAAATTAATATAATGTAAATAAATGTGTTAATAATTACTGGATTACAATTAAATAACATCAGCTCCAATGAATCATATTATTAGTTTATAAATGTTCAACAAAACAATCCATTTAGATTTTTTTATTTTATTTTACTTTATACATACATTTATCATACATTATACTCTGCACTCATGTTATTTTAGTAATATTACGGAAAATGTTGCCTATTTATACATATATAACACATAGCATTTTAAGCATATCATATTCATATTCATTTTTATACAATACACAGTCTATATATGCATACATATGTCTTTTTCAATTTCAACATCTCTTTATACATAATTACACAAACATCTTTGTGCAATCAGTCAAGCTTCTGGCTTGGTGGTCTCTTGCGATTAAATCTGTAATTTGCACCTTTAACACCAAGTGGCAGCAAAAGATCACTTTAATTCTCTCTCTCTCTCTCTCTCTCTCTCTCTCTCTCTCTCTCTCTCTATGTGTGTGTGTGTCAGTTGTGTGGCCTGACAGAAGCCAGTATAAATACTTAATGCCCTACCACTGTTGCAGCAGAAGGAAAAAAAGGGAGAGTAGCTGCGCAGCCTACATACAGTACAACAGTTCAATGGGACCTGACACCACTGTGCTGTGGGGTGTTCACTTTCAGTCAGTGATGAATGGTATTAACAAGGCAGAACATCAGGTGAAGTAGTTTAACCACAGACACAATAACATAGAATCTGATTAATCTTTAAATTTTCTTGGCTTTTTCAGAATTTTTCAAAAACGTGTTGCCATTGTTACCTGTAATGAACCAAGCTGGTGAATTCTTACTCTCTTACTCTTTCATAACTGTGGTGAACAGATAAACTTACCATGTTGGTGGGACTAGTATAACTAAATCTGTCAATATTCTGTACTCTGCATCTGTCACCTTATTTCATCTGTGTCTTGTCATAAGACATGCCTGGCTTTTCTTAATCTGCTATTTTCAATCCTGTTTGTCTTTTTATATGTTCTTGTGTTAATGCATTTTATCATCTCAGCCATCATTACAGTCTCACTTCAAATACTTTTTAAACTTGAATTTTCTTTGGTTGTCCAAATTGTCCCTAATTTGATTGCTTTCATTTTTAGGACAAGTACGATTTTTTTCTGTCCCCCTGTGATTTAAAACAACTAAACTGATGCTGTTACACATAATAAATCCTCGATAATGTTTTTCTTTTCTATAGGTTTTCTGATTATTAATAAATAGCTTGCTGTATTTATATCGATTGTCCACAAATCATCTATAAATTATAAAATATTTTTTGATTCTAATTTATTTGAGAACTGTTAAGGTTTGTCCAAAGCTGACATCCAAATAATTAGTTACAATTATTTTTCCATAATTTGCACTGGAAAACAAACATGTTTTGGGAAAAACATACAGTGTGATTGATGCTGTTTTAGAAGTGGTGATCATTGACCATTGATTCTTGAGGTTCTAAAGCATTTGAAGCTTCTAAAAAAATGAATCATAACCCAGCAGTTCTGGAATGTAAGCAGAGAGGGGAAAAGAATCCAACCAAACATGACTGCAGTAGTTTTAACTCTGTGGGGGGCACTTCACCCTTGCCGCAGTGTGATGTTGTGGACTTTCCTCAGTCGTGCTGCACATGAACAACACTACTGTGTACAGGGCTGTCATGCCTCAACCGTCCCACCCTGAGGTGCACGGTTCATCTACTGTCTCTGCTCGCCTGGGCTCAGTGTGTATGCATGTGTGTGTCAGGCAGACAAAATTTTGGCTGGGACTCTTCAGCAGCTCCTCCAGAACTGCAGGGCTCTGGGACATCTGCAATGCAGAAGTCTATATATAGCAATGGATTTGCAAGGAGAGAGAGAGGGGGGAGAGAAACACAGAGATAAAGAAGGATGGTTGGGCAGAGAGGGGAAGGACAAGACAGGAGGAAACAATGAATGAAAAGAGCTGACAGAAAGCAGCTGTGCCAACCTTTACCACACCAAGTCCATTCCTCTTTATTCAAACTGAAAGCAATTATTATATCATACAATATGTGAATCCATCAGGACTACTGCAGCAATCAAGTGTCCACTCAAAATGTCAGCGAGGTCACTGATGACAGTGTTTGCCTGTAACTCTGGATTTAACTCACTTACAGGTGGAAGTGTAATTATTTCCTTGTGGACTCCCAGATACAGAAAAAGGGGAAGGGTGCTTGTTAAATGCTGAGGTTGAGTATTTATTGCTTTATCTGGAGGAGGCTCAAGAGGGCAGCGGAGGAGGAGGAGAGAGGTTCAATTATGTATGCACCTCCACAACAACAGAAAATGCTGACAGCAGAGCTCAACACCAACACAGCAGCAGCGTGGGCCAAATCAAGGACAAGTCAATGCTCCGGCCAGAGGCGTGCAGAGCTGCAGGGTTGATCGAACCCTTGAATTCTGTTTAAATATGCCCTCTGACACATGAGTCCATGCTAAGTCATAACTTTCCATGCGTTGCCAAGGACAGGATCAGTCCATCAGAGTCCAGCACACAGAGAGAGGATAGGAGCAAGGACTTGGAGTTACACATCTTTTTAAAGTAATCTTGCCATATGTATTATTATTGAAGCATTTCCCATATTGCGTGAATGGTAGAACTTTACGACTTCATTTTCTTTAACATAAACTAGTAAACATACAGAACATGAAATCGGACATGCCCACCCCAAACAACTTAGCTAGACCTGGAATGGGTCATTCAAAAGACAAGGCAAAACCAGAAAACAACATGTAATGCTTAAAAAATGGGTAGAATGAAAAGATAATAAACATAGGGTGCTTCACAAATGTAAGCCAACCAATACATGAGCACACGTATTCATATACATATTTGCATATTCATATACCTACAAATACACAAATGCACATACATAAATGTATATATACATAGTTGAAATAAAGGGGGCTGGGTTGCACTAAGAAATACCTATCACCAGTCTTTAAAGTGCTTACAGTGTCCTGCAGTGAACACTACAGGAAGAAGCCAAGTTAAATCCCTGCAGGACAGCAAAGACAAGGTTTTCAGCCAGTGTTAAATTGCTCTTTAACTGTATTGATTTACAATTATGGACAAAGCTGAGTACAACACAGTATTTAATTTGACTGATGTATCATCTGAAGGAAATAAACCTGTTGGCAGTCTTGCAGACAGCTTGGAGGCATCCAGAAGGAGGAAACTCTGCCAACTAGCATCAGACTCACTAATGGACGCATTACATTTTGTTTATTTAATCTGTAAAAAAAAGTAGTGTGGTTGGATGCTAAATGACAGGACACACCACAGCATCTAGAGAAGTTTCTTTCCTCTCACTGTTAGACAACTGATTTTTTCCACAATCCACTACCCAAAAATGTATTTTAACATTTTTTTAAGGATAAGATGACACTTTATTTATCCCACGGTGAAGAAATTTACCTTTTACAGCAGCATATAGTCTAAATGAGGCAGGCAATAGAAAAAACATTTTTTTTAATTAAATAAAAGCAGGGAAGATGTATATAATATACACCTTTTATTAAGGATGGAAATGTATGTAGAGAAATTTCATTTAGTAAAGTGCAGTTGACAGAATGATCGCTCGAGAAAATATACTGCATTGTGCATTCGTATAAGGAGATACTG